CACCTTGGGCCACCCCTCTGGTTGCACCTTGGGCCACCCCTCTGGTTGCACCACTGCACCTGGTGGTGGATAAAATTACACCCGACACTTGTTAGTCCGTCAGTCCTCAGACAAGCAAAACAAGAACAGCTACCTCTGTCTGTTCTTCTACACCGTGTAACTTCTCCTCACTTTAATATATTGGACCTAAAATATTCCAGTCCATAGAAACATTCAAGAAAACTACAGTTATTGACTTTTCAAATCCCTCAGCGACGTGGGGACATCCATGGCATGTGGCCATTTCAAATTAGCACAGCTGCCATACATACAACTTGTCTTTAAGAAAGGAAACTGAATCCACCTTTGTGTTGTCTTCTGCTGTCTCTCTTTGGGGTGAGCTGGTTTGGGCCTCGTTTTGATCCTGCTTTGTGATTCTGGGCTTCGAGGTGTAGCTGGTTGTTGCTCATTGTTTAAATAACAAGCTGCTTCACTTCAAACTGGGAAGGTCCAGAGCCCGTTAAATTATTATTTATTAATCTGCAAAGCATAATCATTCTGTCTGCACAAGTGCTTTGAGTGTAAACAAGAAATATTTCAAACATCTGTGACAACGTAGCAAACATTAAATCACCATGGACAGATGTTCCAGATGCTTCTGAACATCCGAGAAGCTGACTGTCACTTGGCACAATCTGCAGGGATTTATTTAATTTATGTAGAATTTAATAAAAACTCAAGTCGGTCCATTCGAACTGCGTAACTTTGAGAATCGTCTGCTGGCAGAAACTCTGTCTCACCCGACAGTGCAGTTTATTATAGCGGCATAAAGCCACCGTCTCACGAGGCGCCACTGTTCACATTTCGTTAGAGACGCCCTAATTCCACATTTGTGGGTTGGTTCAGATTCTCTGTATTTGTACAGCTCTGCTGATACAGACGCTCCAGATACCAACTTCTCTTTAAGAAGAGAATTTGGTAGATGTAATGTTTTACCTTTTAGTCCCCAAGTGTGAGTGAGCGTGAATGTTTGTCCAAGTGTCCCTGTGATGGACTGGAGACCTGTCCAGGGTGTCCCCCGCCTCTCGCACAGTGATTGCTGGTCATGGACACCAGTGACATCTGTGACCCGAAAAGGAAGAAGTGGGTAAAAAATGATGGATGGATGGATGTTTTAGTTTCTTAAATAATGGCCCAGTTGGCCACGTTCTGTTTATGAAAGTTTAACCTTTGTTCAGCTGTAACCTCCACAAGTTATTTTTCTTCTGAAGGACATTGGAATAAAAAGTGTAGTTGTGTTCACAACTGTTTTTTTTTACTGAAAACGATAGAAAATGTAAATACTTTGCATCACCGCAGGTAATGTGGGTCTGAAGTCTTTCATGGGAAACGAGCGGGAAAATGTTGCATGACTCAAGCTTCTGTCTCTTAAAATCTGATCTGGTATTTGATCGTTGTGGGTTTTAAAATCTTAACCTCACTGCCAACATTTAGGTGATGCTTCTAAAATGACTAACTTTCCAATTGAAACCTCGTCTCTCAACAAAGTTTCATGTTTTACTTTTTATATTTTTTGTCCAGAATGTTTTTTGTTTTTGGCCGTCTTGTTTATTTCCACTCATTTTGTCCAATCTGTAATCTCAGTCAGCTGCTGTGATGTCCAGCAGGAACTTCTGTTTAAACACTGTTGCAACTCAAACTTGTTTTTGTGTTAAAACTCAACAAACTGTTTCCATAGCAACTGGATAGCCCTGGCAGCAGCTGTATGGCCCGTGTACTAGTGACTAGTGGGGAGGAAATAAATAAATGCAATAAATCGGGGATGAACGGTTAAAGAAACTAGAGTTGATGTGGGCAGTGAGGGCTGTCCCATCTTTTATTTTTTATGTTTTTAAATACCAAGTATTTCAGATTAAACACTTGTCTCTACCGAGTGCCGACAATGAGTTGTTCTTAAAAACTCCACAATGACTTGAGGAACACATTTCTTTTATTAAGAACACAGCAAACAGTTTGTTGTCTTAACATCACATGTTTATCTAAAAACATCTCCAAACTATGGACATTTTTTTTAGTTTTCGTCCTCTGGTATTTGGTAGAAGAGGAAATGACATCACCAAACATGAAAGTGGTATTGATTTTAAGTATCGGGTGTTTTTGAGTCCTGGTGCTTGAGGCTGGTATCGGGACGTCATGCAGCATGTAGACCAGGTGAGAGGTGTGAAAACGTTCTTCTGGTCCACGACCAAAACCAAGAAAGACGACTGCTGATCAGTACTTGGGACATGAAGTGTCGCCGTGCTCTGTGTTGTTTGTTGTGATAACGAGCCTCGTTTAACTAAACTCTTTTGTCGTTGCAGCATTCCCTTTGATAGAATATCAGACATCAACTTCTCCCTGAACACAAACGAAAGTGTAAGTACTTTGAATTTTAATCTCAAGTTTGTATGGCGTTAAGGAGTGAGAGAGCATTTCTCGTTAAATATAAATATTTATTTTATTGGGGACCACCTAGTAAAGGCAGCCCCCTATTATTATCCACCTGATCGGGTTTCTTAACTTTATATCTTCCTCTTCCATCAACTTTAATGTGGCACGAACCGAAACGTGTACCTCCACAGATGTTGTATCAAAACGACCGGCTCGGCGCCGTGATGTGTTCTGTTACTTTTATTAACGTTTCAAGTTACCATGGCGACTTAATTTGCAAACAAAGACGACATTTTTATTAGTCATTTGTAATAGACTGGTTGCAAATCAAATATCCAAGATGGTCACCTGAGCTAAATGGGAAAAATACTGTAAATCAGCCATTTTTTAGAGATATTAAGCTGAAATTTGGTTTAAGGTTTCTTTGTCATTCACACCACAAGTGGTACATGAGGTGGAACGAAATTGTGTACATGGGGTCCCAGTTACATCCAACAAAAGTATAAATAGTGAAGAAAAACAGTAATAAGATCTAAGATGTGAACTAAGAATACACTACTAGTACAAAACGATACGCTGAACAACAGCAGCACGAACATGAGTCTGTGAGCAGATGAGTACGTATGAACACAGCAGCGTGAAATAAATCAGCAGCATAAGATCAGCAACGTGGATAATCAGCAGCACATATCAACAATCAAGTGGCATCACAGTGATTCTCCTGATCAGGGATTCATGAGTCTAACAGCCTCAGGGTAGAAGCTGTTCCTCAGTCTAGTGGTTCTACACTTAATGCTCCTCAACCTCCTTCCTGAGTGGAGTGGGGCAAAAAGTGTGTGTGCTGGGTGAGTGTGGTCCTTCATGATGCAGGTGGCCCTCTTCCTGCATCTGGAGGTGTAGATGTCTGATGGTGGGGAGGCTGACTCCAACATCTTCTGTGCAGCCTTCACCACTCTCTGCAAAGCTTTTCTTTCTGCAGCTGTGCAGCCTCCATGCCACACATTGATGCTGGAGCACAGGATGCTCTCCACCAACCACCACCTAAAATGCCTCCGGGTGTTTGTTCTGCAGCGAGTTAATATTATCATGCAGCTCCAGCAGGGCGTTTTTATAATTAGCATCCGTGGCTTTGTGAACAGTTATTATAAACACCACCGTAAACTTGCGGGGTGATGTGGTTGACTCTTCACTGATAGCTGCTCCAAAGCCTTGGAGCATGAGCCGTTTACCAGAGTACAGTTTGTGCACAGCTTTTACTCACAAAGACGCACACTCCGTCTCCCCGTGACTTCCCTGTTAGCTCGCTGCAGCGGTCCGCTTGAAAGAAATAAGTTTGTCGTCCAGCTGGAACACTGAGTCCGGCATGTCGCTGTTAGGCCACGATTCTGAGAGACAAAGCACCGCACATTTCCTCATCTCCTCTGAGGCTCCCACTCTCAGACGAAGCAAATCCATCTTGTTATCCAAAGAGCGGACGTTTGACCGAAAGAGAGAGGGTATCTGTAGTCTGCCAGCCTTAGCGTTAGCTTTAATTACAACACCCCGCCCGGCAGCCTCTTTTCTTCAGCCGGACACAGCGCTGCCTCCTTCCTGTTT